CTTTGCCTCTCGGTTCCCTTTCTGGGGGCCCGTCCTACTGAGCAAACAGCATTTAATCTCTCACCCCTGACAGTTCTGGGAAAGTTAGATATACCTCTCTTTGTTCTGTTCTCTCTCAAGAGAGAATTCAACAGATATTTCGATCGGAGGGCCCAACAGACTGGCTGCTGGGGATCTCCCTCTCCTCCCCCCCGCAAATATATTTTTATTGATTTCAGAGAGGAAGGGAGAGGAAAGAGAGATAGAAACATCTATGATGAGAGAGAATCACTGACCAGCTGCCTCCTGCATGCCCCATACTGGGGATCGAGCCCACACCCTGACATGTGCTCTGACTGGGAATTGAACCGTGACCGTCTGGTTCATAGGTTGATGCTCAACCACTGAACCACACTGGCTGGGCTGCTGGCGATTTCTTAGTCCAGGCAATGAGTCGAGCCTGGAGGCCCCACCAAGGCCCCGGCCCCCCGCCAGAGCACTATCCCCCTGCTCCGATTTTGGCCTCCCCTCCTATTTGCTGCGTTGGTGCTGCTCATGTGACTCGGTACAATGAGCCTTCCGACTCTGGCAGTGGCCGGGGCCTTGGTGGGGCTGGGTTGAGACTGATGGATGAGCTCTCTGTGCCTGAAAAATCACAGTGACTGTTTTTTGTTTTAAACACAGCAATGCCCTGCAGTTTTGCAATGGATATGAGAGAACAGAACTTGAGACGAAGAGGTTCTAGTGCAGTGGTTCTCAACCTTGGCTGCACATTAGAAACACCTGGGAATCTTTTTAAAATCCTGACTTCTGGGCCTCATCCTCCGGAAATTCTGTTTCTTTGTTACTAATGTTGTGGCCCCACCCCATAACAAAGAAACAGAATTTCCGGAGGATGAGGCCCAGAAATCAGGATTTTAAAAAGATTCCCAGGTGACTCTAATGTGCAGCCAAGGTTGAGAACCACTGTTCTAGTGAGACGAAGAGGTTCTAGGGAGCCAAAGCTCGGGCCCTGGATGTGCACAGGAAAGAGCAGTCCTGGAAAAGGAGAATACGGAGAGCACTGGGCTAGGCGTCAGCTGATGCCGAGCCTCCGGTGACCTTCTGTCTCCTTGGTTAGTGGTGGCACCAGGGCCACCAGGCAGAGGGCACCGGCGTAAAATTCCCAGCTCTGGTCACCATATGGAGAGAGGCATTCTTGATTGTGTGGCTCGGAGGTTTCCAAGGAGAAATGGAAAAAGAAAAATGTGCTTTAATCCCCTTCTGTGGTCTGGACGGTGGTGTGAGTGACAGGAGCTGGGTGGAGAGGACTGACCTAGATGACCCTGGTCCAGATCCATAAGCATCAGAAACCTCAGATTCAGCCACTGGCACCATAGTTTTCTCCCCAGAAAGTGCGATCCTACTTATGATTCTGACATAGTCAAGTTACAAAGAGGGATTGAAAGAAAAAATGGGTAACGCTGTATGCCTCAGATTAAAAAGAAAAAAGGAAAGGAACTCTGATTCACAACTGTTAGCTTGCGGGCAACCAATTCATTTTCTCGGATGGCGCTCGCTCTGAGGCTGTGGCTGCTGGAAGGGAAAACAAAGGCCCTGGCTTTCACTCATTCATTCAACAACCGTTTCGTGAGCGTCTGCCATGTGCCAGCGCTGTGCCAGCTGGTGAGGCACGGTGATAAAGACAACAGCCCTTGTCTTCATGGAGCTGTTGACATAACTGTGAGCTAGCATGAGCTAGCATGACCTGGAAACCACAGACCAGAAATGCGCTGACAGTGGGTGGGGTGTGGGATGCTCAGGAGGGCCCATGGGAGAAGTCACATTTGAGCTGGCCTCTAAAGAGGAATGAGTGGATGCTTCCCAGGGGAGTGGCCCAGAGGCAGGGAGGACAGAGGAGTGGAGAAAGCAGAGGGCCATGCTAAGAGACTGGGCTTCCTCCCAGCCTCCAAGGGGTTTTACTCAGAATATGACAAGGTCAGCCCGACCAGTGTGGCTCAGTGGTTGATTGTCGACCTATAAAGCAGGAGGTCACAGTTTGATTCCCGGTCAGGGTACATGCCCGAGTTGCGGGCTCGATCCCCAATGTGGGGTGAGCAGGAGGCAGCTGATCAGTGAAATTCATCAATGTTTCTCTCTCTATCCCTGTCCCTTCCTCTCTCTAAAATCAATACAAATATATTTTTTAAAAAGGCATTCTATTGCACTTGAACAAAATAAAACCTGAGTGTCTTAACACAGCCCCATCTCCCTATCCAGTCTCCCTTGCACCATTGTTCCTTGTTTCCACTGCCACCATGCCGGCTGCCTTCTGATTCCTCATTCGTGCCACCTCAGGGTCCCACACATGCTGCTACCTATTCCTGAAGCACTATCCCCCAGCTCTTTCCGTCCTGTGGGTCTTGGCATGTCACTTCCTGAATCTAAGTGTCTTAACACAGCCCCATCCCCCTATCCAGTCTCCCTTGCACCATTGTTCCTTGTTTCCACTGCCACCATGCCGGCTGCCTTCTGATTCCTCATTCGTGCCACCTCAGGGTCCCACACATGCTGCTACCTATTCCTGAAGCACTATCCCCCAGCTCTTTCCGTCCTGTGGGTCTTGGCATGTCACTTCCTGCAGTCCATTTTTCCTGATTCCATCCTTTTACACTCTGTTTCCCTGTGTGTACTCATTATTATTACTTTATTGTTTGGCTCCCCGGCTAGATTGGAAGTGTTCTGAGGGAAGGGGCCCTCAGCGTCTCTTCTGCCCATAGCCATGTTACCATCTTAATACTGTATGTCACACTCACTGAATATTTATTGGATGAATGACTATTCTCCTCTCATTTCCTTGGTCAAACTGCATCCAGAAAAGAATACTAAGACCCAGAGAAATGAATGACTGTGAAGCAAGAAGTCCAAGTTCCTGGAATGTCTGTGTCGATGAAAACAAGCTTCCCAGTGGTGGTTCTTGGAGCACGAAGCACGGGGAAATGAGTCAGGCACCGCTGATCAGAAAGGAGACTGGCTGATTTCCTCATTAGTATTCCACACTTGTCCTAAGACTTTCCACGAACCAGGAGGGAACTCCCAGAGTAACAGGCAGGACCACCCCAAAGCAATTGAAGAGGAAGAGCTGAAATTAGTTTTCTGGCAACACTGCCTTTTGGGAAGGCTCGAGCTCCCAAGAGGCCAGATGTGCAGGAAGGACAGTAGCACCCCAAGGCCCAAAGAGCCACGGGCGTGACGGGGCAACAGCTCCACCCATGTGTTGCACGATGCTCTGCACATCACTGAAGCCCCACAGTATTGGTGAACTTGATGTGAAACCACAGAAATGGCTCCTCCGTGCCGTGAGACGGGGAGGCCAGGTTTCTCCTCCTCGGCATGTGACACAGAGAGCATCTCACTCTGTTTTTCTGAAAACTCACGAGCGTGGCTGGCTGCAGAGTGTACTATAAATTGATGGCTCAGCCTTGGACCAGAACCGAGAAAAATTCACATCACAGCCTCGGCGGCGGAGTCACACCTACAATTAAGCAGCTGGCTCGGCATTTGCTACCCTCAGCTTAGACCTTTATATCCAAACGAATCCCAAAATGTGAAGGCAAAAAAACAAACCCTGAACCACATTGGGAGCCCAGTTTGTGCAGCGGTGGGATTTATTTCTAACGGGTTTATTTATTGTGTCTTAAATCAGCCTTAATGAATCTGAGAGAAGAGTTTCAAGGTTCACATGTTATGGCTCAAGGACGAGTCTGGGGCCCTGAGTCCAAACACACTGTGATTGGCTGCATGTTGCTAAACAACAGAAACAGCCCTGCATCCGCTGTCCTTGCAGGGCTGGGCCTTATTTACAAGGGGATCACCCGAGTGCCTTCTGCAGCCATCGATAAAGCACTAATGGGATATAAACGATGGCTTGCACCCACAGTCAAGTAAAAAGGTTGGGCTGAGGCGAACAATGGAATCTATTAGGGTAGAGGCTGTAGAGAAGATAGTCTCTTGAATTTATTCTCAGTCAAGACAAAAAAAAGGAGAAGCCCTATGAAAGTGCTTCCCGCTTGGAGAGAGAAAGGTTCCCCACTGACAGGCGCTGCCCAAGCGCCAACATTCATTCAGAGGGGACTGAATGGGCATTTTCTGTGTGTTAGACCCCAAAGATACAAATAAAACACAGCCCCTCCCTCACAGATGGGGAGGCAGGTTATGCAGAAGCCTGGAAAAACAGGAAGCCAGAAGTAAATGCTGCTTTTTGTTTTAAATCCTCACACAAGCATATGTTTATTGACTTTAGAGAGAGAGAGAGAGGAAGGGAGGGAAAAAAAGAGAAAAAGAAAGGAAGAGAGAGAAACATCGATATTCGATCGGTTGCCTCCCATACTCGCCCTGACCTGGGATCAAACCTGCAACCTTTTTTGGTGTACAGGTATGACCTCCAACCAACAGCCACCCAGCTGGGGCAGTAACTGCTGTTTTTTGTTTTGTTTTCTTTTTTAAATCCTCACCCAAGGATATTTTTTTCCTATTGAGAGTGGAAGGGAGAGAGAGAGACAGAGAGAAACACCAATGTGAGAGAGACACATCAATTGGTTGCCTCCCGAATGCCTCCAACAGGGCCGGGAGCCTGCAACCAAGGTACATGCCCTTGGCTGGAATCGAACCCAGGACCTTTCAGCCCACAGGCTGATGCTCAACCCACTGAGCCAAACCAGCTACGGCAGTAACTGCTCTTTTTTAAGAGAGACCAGTATGTTGGGTAAGTTTAGCCTTGTGAATATTTTGCTGCTCAGAATGATGGCAGAATTGGGGAGATAGGAAGACTACACTGCAATTTCGTGGCAGCCAGGGCCAATGATGGGCCCTGAGGAGGCGGGATTTCATGTTGAGACATGCCATTAAGAATCCAGCAAAATGTGAAACCAGACTAAATCAACACAAAGACAGATGGAAGTCTCCAGGTTATGGTGGACTTAATAATTCTTGTTGAAGGAATGAATGAATTTCTTCCACATGTCATCCCGTCTATTGCTCACCTCAGACTCTTTGTAGTAACGTTCTGGAATTTCATCGCAGGCAATATCAATAAAGCAAACTTCTCTCTCGAGGTCTTTGGCTTCGCTGTCAAAAATCTGAAAGAGCAGAGCAAGAGATCAAAGGTTAGTGATACCAGGTGATAGCTGCAAGGTGCCCGCTGGCAGAATTACAACCCACAGAGCATCTTCACGTGGCTCGGTGCCCCTGGCTAGTGCCTTCCAGGGCCTCAGAACTCGCAGGAATCATGAAAGGCTTTTATTCACTGCTTGTGTTTGTCACATCAGAGGCAGGTGCAGCATCAATCACCACTGGGTAGAAGAAAATAAAGGTTGTTTTTAGAAGTTCAAGACTGAAGACATAAATCTCTTTCCAAAATGATGTCTGTTGAACAGGGGGAGTGAAGAGGCTAAAAAGGATCTGGCTAGATATGTGACATACAGCGGTAATACAGCCAAGGACTTAGGGAATTTAAAAATGTGGGTTTTTTTTTCATTAAAATTTTTATATCTACCTAATTTCACAAGAATACATGCTCACTGTAGAAAATACAGATAAACAGAAGAAAGTAGAGATCTGGGTAACAACCCAGTTACCCAGGGATACACATGGGATTATTCTTGATCATGTAAGAGCATGGTTTCCTTGGTACACAGAGGGGTAGGAAGGTAGAACCTTGAAAATATACTGAGATGACTTCCCGCCAGTCTACTCTAGGTTTCATGGCCCACAATGGTCATCACTTGCAAATAAATATGTAAGACAGCCACATATACAGATATACATTTTAGTGGAAAGATTACATTCCTCTAGTTTTTCCAATTGCCATTTTTCTAGGCTAAAGTGATCACCTTCCCAGCCCTTCTGAAGGATCTGAAGGATGGTAAACAAATTAAGTTTGCAAAACCACTTCATCCTTGCAGGTTTTAACTATCCTCCCCTACCTCCGTGCCCCCCCCCCCCCGGCCCCCCCCCCCCCCCATTTTCACAGTTGAGCTAATTCCAGCAGGGGAACCATCCGTTAACACTAATTAAATCTGATTCTTCAGAAGGGAATGAAATATTTGGGAAGAACAGGGTGGTTGATGCCTAAGAACATTGTCTTGACACAAATTTGGTGCCTATTAATAACATCATCTCCCAGGAGGGCAACTGCAGGCCTCTTTGCATGCTACGCTCTCCCTGCTTTGCTTCTCAAGTTTAAATGATTAGTCCTTTCCAAAAGCTTTCTGAATAATGTTGGTGCTGGTAATTATCCTCCAAGTCTGCTGTTCGCTCTGTTGCTAATTTTCTCCTAAAACGCTTGGAGACTGGACTCTTTCAGATTTGTTCAAGGAGATTAATCCCATGGTCTGACCTGAGGTGGCCACTGCATTTTCCTTAGAGGCAGAGAAAGACTGGCTCCTGGATCAGCTCTGATTCCTTCCACTGCCATGGGGAGCCAAGTGCTTCAGGACACGCCCACAGTGGTTGGGAGCGACAGGTGGACTGCTTAGGAATGAGAGAGGCAGTGGGGAAACAGGTTCAAGGCCGAGTGGAGAAATACACTGTGAGATGAAATATTGGGTCTTAGGTTGTTTGTGTGAGTGTTTTCCCTCTCCCTTTCATGCACGAGTCTCTTTTAAGTGTGTGCCAAGAGAAGAAAGACTCGTGCCTCATTAAGACAACAAACCAACTTGGAATCCCCCAGAGGGAAATGAGCTTCTGGAGAGTAAATTACAAAAGAAGTGAGAAGTTGGACATTTATTGGTGGTACAAACTTAGGGGACTGAAAGAAGGGGACATAAACTGGGGCTAAGATAGTTATTGATGGATTATGTGGCTTTTCCTACTTTAATTCAAACATTTTTGACCGCCCAGTATAGCAGTTATCAGATCGTTGACTCTCAGCTCCAAGTTCACCCTTTGGTCTCTGCTTGGAGATAATGGCCTGGATCCTGTAAGCACTTCTTTGTAGCAAGTACAACATTAAGCCATGTATTCAGGCACTCCGCAAGAAGAAGGAGGCTTCTCTTCCGGATTTGGATCTTACTCCTTCCTTGAGTATTTCTTCTCCCTTATGAGGAGAGTATTACTATTCCCAATTTGCAGACGAGAAAACCAAGGCTCAAAGAACTAAAGAGCTTTGCCCGAGGTCGCACAGCCAGTCAGCAGGGAAGCTCCTATCCAGGGCAAGTCTCCAGCCTTCACCACTAGGCTCTGCCCACTCTTGATAAAAGGCTGCCTTTGGCACTCAACCAAGAAGATATATATCAGTCAAAAGCACTTCCTGCTTCTTTCCAGAAAAATGAAATTGGAATCTGGTTTTCCTACTGCTATTTATAAAACGTATGTCCCCAAAGACTTGGAGCTTTTCTTCTGGTTGTTGAGTAGCTGATGTTGCAGTAGAATCTACATAGGGACCCTTTGGTACAAACTCTGGTCTCCTTCATTAATGTGACACTTAACTTTTGCATCACAGTTAATGAAATACCAAGCACCTTTGCACTAAAACTTTCAGGGTGGGGTTCCCACCGCCTGAACAAAGCCACAAAAAAATCACTTTGAGGACCTCAACATCCTCTTCAGGTTCCAGATGACAAAAAGTCATAATTTCTAATAAACAACTAGTCTCCCAATGATTACAGATTTTAGGAGATGCTCTTAAGTTCTCATTAAGTACCTGCTGAATTAATGGAAGGCATTACTTTCTGCTTTCCAAAGAGGAAGCTATGGCAGGAATACTGAGTACTAACTGATGTTAGTTTCCTTTCATAAGCCTGAGTTCTATTTCCTTGTTTGTAAGCACCCTACCTTTTCATGATTCCCCAAATAGGGCTCAACGTAGAGGAGAAACCTACTGTATTGGGTCCTATATCGGGAATCAGGGGATCTGAGTTTGAATTCAGTTCTCTCCTCTGTATAACCTTGGGCGAAGCCCTGCATCTCCGCAGGTTCTCCATGTCCTCATCTGCGAAATGAAAGGCTTAGTCTAGATCAGTGATGGCGAACCTATGACACGCGTCACCTCTGACACGCGAACTCATTTTTTTGATTTTTCTTTGTTAAATGGCATTTAAATATATAAAACAAATATCAAAAATATAAATCTTTGTTTTACTATGGTTGCAAATATAAAAAAATTTCTATATGTGACATGGCACCAGAGTTAAGTTAGGGTTTTTCAAAATGCTGACACGCTGAGCTCAAAAGGTTCACCATCACTGGTCTAGATGGACGGTGTCAGGGAGTTGTGGAATATCCTGGAATTGTAGCCAGAATTTGGGCAGGTGCATATTTTGGAGAGACTGACCTCTTTCATATGATTATCAGAGATCTGTGACCCCAGTGAGGTTGGGATTGAGTGACCCAGATCACCACTAATATTCTTTCCAGTTAAAGTGTCTGTGATGTTGAAGTGTCTGAGTCATGTCATCTCCCAAGTCTTGCTCTTGGCTCAGTCCCTCTCTGCCCCTTCCCCCCACAGCCAGCTGACTTGGGTGGTGTAGAGAGGGGCTGCGGCAGGGAAATGGGAAGTGGAGATGGTCAAGATATAGTGTAACAGTCTAATCTTCATGCTCAGTGTAGGGCCTGATCCAGAAGTAAGCCAACACTGTTAGACACAGACAGAGGCTTGGGCAGGCCTCTGGGGAAAACAGCATGAGTAAGTATTCATCTCAGTTTCCCCAGTGGCAGCAACAGCAGCTGCCAGAACTCTGGTCCAACCACCACCTCTTTGAGTAGGAGATCTGCTGAGATAGTGTCAGGACAAGATGCATCTTGTTGGTACGTCATCAAGTCAAATGACGCCAGGATTGCACCTGACACAGGTGTTATGCACCTTCAGGCCTCAGGCAGAACCCATTTCCTTCTGAGATGGCAGTTGGGTTTGGGAGTTCATTGTGGTACTTTCCCTTATCCTCTACAGCAGTGGTTCTCAACCTTCTGGCCCTTTAAATACAGTTCCTCATGTTGTGACCCAACCATAAAATTATTTTCGTTGCTACTTCATAACTGTAATGTTGCTACTGTTATGAATCGTAATGTAAATATCTGATATGCAGGATGGTCTTAGGCGACCCCTGTGAAAGGGTCGTTCGACTGCCAAAGGGGTCGCGACCCACAGGTTGAGAACCGCTGCTCTACAGTAACGCTCCCATCTTTGGTTATTTATCAGACATGCCCCCCCTACGGATCATTTGCAATGGATTTCAGGGCCAATCTGGTTGGCTCTCCTTCCCCACCCCAACTCCCCCAGGCAATGAACACTCCATAAACACACTCCTTTTAATATGAACTGAGCAGTACTACCAGGAGAAGGCAAGTCTCCCAAGTAAATACTATCTTACAGAGTGCAAAATGAAAAGGGAGTAGTTTTCCCTTTTTTGTAAAGTATTATGAACATTAAATATCAAGCACCTTTAAAACCTTCATGTAGCTTGACCTAGTAAGCTTAAGCTTTGAGAATTTATCTTAAGAATATTAAGGGCAAGCATTATGCACAAAGATGTTCACGGCAACATTATTGTTTTAAAAAGTAGAGAGAGAGAGAGAGAGAAGCAAGCAAGCAGCTTAAATATCCTAGTATGGGAGAATGGCCAAGGAAATTATGATAAATCCATTTGATGAACTATTATGTAGCCATTAATAACTCCATTCTCAAAAAAGATTTTCCCAGAGGGTAAACATGGGGTGGGGAGGATGGAGAAAGGGAGATGCCCCACATTTAATGCAGGAAAATGCTGAGTGGTGAGGTCATAAATCAGGAGAGAAAGGTGCATTGATAGATAATGGACTGTGCTTTAACAATGAACTGGACTTCTTCCTTGGACAAGTGTCTTTCTAGATTTTGTGATCTCTCTTGTTTTGCTTCTAGAAGTTTCTAACTTTTGTGATCTCTCTTGTTACAGCCCATCGAGGGAGACCACTGTGTCCGGTGGCTCTTCAGAAATCCACAATCCTGGAACTCAAGAGATTGGGCAGCCCCTTTTTCTCTATAATAGTAACTTGTGGTTTCAGATCCAAGTTTAGATGGGAACTCTCTGTACTTTTTGCACAATTTTTCCATAAACTTAAAACTGCTCTAAAAAAAAGTCTATTATTAAAAAAATAAAATTGA